GACTTAAAGAAAATTAAAAATACTCCTAAAAGAGGCAGTAAAATCTCACCAAAGGGTGATGGAGTTAAAATCTTGACTCGGTCGATATGGACAAGTCAGGGAGGAAGAAGAGTTTGAGGAAGATTTAGGTAAGGGAAGTAAGACAGTTTAGATATCGAAATCTCTTTGTTCTTAGGTTTGGGTGAAAGAGTTTCTCTTAGGGATCTCAACTCTCGAACCCATTTAGGATGAGTTAAAGGTTTGACAATTCCAAAGGGGGCTGTAGGGAAAGTGGGAAGATGGTTGGGACAATACATTTCAAATGAAGTTTTTCCTCGAGGATTGATTATTTTGTGGTTCGATCGGTTGGTGTCTGTTTTATTAACTAGGGAGATAACAACATTATAAAAGGTTTCTTCTAGTTTCAAAGGGTTGTAGCATTCTCGATAAAAAATTTCAAATCGAGATATTTGGAGATAATGAGAGTATGTACCTTTCTTTGCCTTCGATTTATCCTGCAACACGAGAGAAGAACGCGCAGTCAATTTCTATTGGACTATATCAAAATTAGAATGAATGTTTGAAAACCAATCGGTCCACCATTGAGAAAAACCAAGAGTAGACAAGTAATTGGACTCAAAAGCATATGGATAGAAATGCATCGGGCTTTGCGGTAACAATTTGGCAAGTTCCCGTCCAACATTTGATTCACTTAATTTGGACCTTGGGGAAGTATCGAGGGGGAAAAAGGGTAAAGCTTGACTTAAACCAAACTGCCGCGAAAAGAGTTGGGGGTAATAAATGACGAGTTGAAAATCCTTCAATTGAAAACCCGATACTAGAACGTCCTGGGTCAAATAATTATTCCACACTTCGACCAATTCTGATTGTAACCCTGGAGTAAGAGCAGGGAATTTCTATTTAAACCATGTCGACCCTCAAAGCTTGTCACTTACTTTTCCATGATAAATGGTGAAGGGGGCCAAGTTCGACTCAAAATGAAATCGAGTCAACAAAATATTTAGGTAATTTTTATAACTAGTCTCATCGGATTTCTGGTGAGGATGTCGAGAGGATAATCGAGCGCCTTCTAGATTCAAACTTGGGGGAATTTTGGAGGTTGGGGAGAGGATACTTTCAAAAATCGAGGTAAGCCATAATTGGATAAACCAGATTGGACCCGAAAAATTCCCTGAGGCTCTTGGGGTATTCAAAATATCGATAGCCTCATCAAAAGAAGTATAAACATGGGCTAATAAAAGCTTCGCCAAACAAATCCAGGGTCCGCCAGTATGGAGGAGGTAGGCAAGATTATAGAGGTGGGGCGAGATTTGGATGGATCGGGGGCAAAAGACGTGAGTGCAGAGCCAATATACCAGGAAGGCCACATGCTCCTCATCTGAAACAGCTACCGATTGATCGTCGACAAAATGTTTTTCGATGAAATGACCATATGCCTTCGATTCCCAATCGATTTTTGACCTTAGAAAATCATCCGAGGGGAAAGCACCCTTAAAATATTTCTCCTCTGCGGGTTTTAGTCTAGTAATGGCAGCAACTTCAAAAAGGGTAGGTGAAAGGGGACCACAGGGAAGTTCCAGGGCATGTAAATCTTTGTTCCACAGATGGACAGCAGATAGAAACATGGCCATATCTAAAAATGACAAATCACATCGAGACAGATGTAGGAAATCGAAGATCCCTACATCTCTCCAATGATTCCCAAACTTAGTTTTCACTCGGTCGAACCATCTAATGTTTAAGGGTTTTTTGTGGGGAGGGCCCGTTCGATACACTTTTGAGACAATATTCAAAAAATCAATTCGAACCTCAGGCTGATGGATAAGAACTTTACTTTCTGAAGAAAGGCTGAAGGAAGAAGAAAACGATCCGCCACAGTAGCGGATAGGACCACCAAACGCATAATTTACACTATCAGCGACGTAAGAAATAAGTACCTGGGTCTCGACAATCCTTTGTGAGGCTTCCTCCATCAGAGGAATCGGAGCAAACTTCTTGCCGTTTATCTCTAGCAAAGTCGAAGTTACTGAGGAAAGCGGTGGGGTGGAGAAGTCGGAGGATTTGGAGGTCGCCATTGTAGTTTGAAGAAGGATTGAAGATGAAAGAAGGTGCAACGAAGAAGTTAGGTTCGTGGTAAAAAATAAGGGTAAAATCTAATAAAAGTATTTAAAGAGGCGACTAGGGTATTTGGAACGACGAAGGCAAAGAGAGTAATCAAGATGTGGCGTGCGCAATGTGACAGCAGAAAGGAGGTGATTTGATATGTGACATAAAGCAGAGAAAACCCCAAAAACTCTAGAAACCCCAGAAATCCTAGAAAACCCCAGAAACCCTAAACCTTAAAAAAGGTTATTTTAAACCTCAGGAACGTTGGAGGGCGGGAATTACTTTGAAAGAATATAAAATTGATACAAATATTTATATTCTTTCAAGGGGGCATTTTGTTAGTGAGAAATCGATATAATAATCGAATAACAGAAGAGAGAAAATCGAAGATCATATGATTGGTTAAAAAGCTGATAAATCGGAAGGATGGTTGGAAGATACCTGGTGACCACGAGATAGCATGAACGCATAAATCGAGAATGGGAATCGAGAATCAGAAAAGAGAGGAAAATCGATAGAAGTAATAGTGCAAAATCAAGGTTAGGGGAAATTGTATTTGGTAACTGAAATCGAGATCAAGGGAAAAAGATTATCATGCATATGGAACATAAGGAAGAGACTTTTCACATCGTGGCCAAGGTTAGAAATCGAAGGACGTGCACATGGAACGTGTTGGCAGTTTTTTAACTGTTCTTGGGAGGTTATATTGAAGGATACCTATAAATAGAACGAAGCATGAAGAAGAAGGGGAAATTGGCAGAGACAACAGAAGCATAAGTGAAAAGTCTACCGGAGGACGACGAATCATGAAGTTTCTGGCGATCTGGATTTCCATTCTTATTGATTGTTTTTACCGTTTTCTTTACTTCCCTTGGTAACTTATTTACATTCATCAATTTAAGTCCTTGTACTTTAAATGTTGTCATTTACCTTCGATGCAATATAAGATTCTGTACTTAAATTTTCCTGCATTTATTGTTTTTGCAATTTCGATTTCTTATTATTTACATTTCTGCAATTTCAATTTCTTGCCGTTTACATTTAAAGCAATTTGAGCTTTCCGCATTTTACATTTTTCTGCAATTTAATGTTTCTGCACTGTTTTTCGATTCGACACATTTTACTGCTTCCTTTACTTTGAAGTCTCTTAATAAAAAACACCAAAAAATAGTACTTTCGATTGTCAATCTACATGCTAGGTTACGTTGTGAGCGTTTCTCGATACTGTGGAATTTTCGATTCTCATACACATTTCGATTAAAAATCATTTGCTAGCCTGAGTAAAAAGAATTTACGTGGTTGAAACTTGGTTAGAACCGAAGTCTCCGAGAAATCAAAATCAATCAAATTTCCACCAGAAACACCTACATATCTTGATCTATTCATTCTTAATGGGATACTATCCAACTTTAATGAGATATGTATTGAGTTCACTCAACTTTGATGTGTAAACCCGACATGGTTCATTCATCTTGATCTAATTTAATTCATCCTGATCCATCGATCTAATCTTACTTTCTTAATCTCATACAATTTGTTTTCATACTCGATGTAAAGTGAATTTGATCTAATAAAGATAAATTTTTATATTTGATAATAATTAAAATGTTTATTAAAAAATTTAATACATCAAATTATTTCAAAAATTAATTCATTTTAAATAAAAATGAAGTCAAATTTAATATTTAAATTTTTTTAGAAATTACAAAATATCTTATCTAAGAATAATATCAATTTAAGGAAACATTAATAAAAAATATTTTTTTCTTTTAGGCTTTTAAGTTAAAGTACAGTCACAATGTCCCGAGAAAAGAAGGAAGAGCTTATATGAGAGTTGACTTTAAAAAATGAAAAAATGGATTATTGGGCTTTAAGAAATATTAAATTTAATTAAATTTAGGTCAGAAATACATATCTTAATATTAGGGGAGAAACCAATTTAAGTGAGAATAGAAATATCTTAATTTTGAGTGCGAAAAAATAAAAAAATTAGAGTAGTCACACCCTGCACAACACAATCGCCAGCTGCCCCAACATGTCCTAGCTCCCACCCATTAAATAGATTGAGTTATGATAATTATATTTATTAAAAAATTACTTAGAAATAAATATTTTTTTAATAATATAACATAATAATAATATTTTAAATTTATTATATAATATTTTTTAAATATAATATATTAAATTATAATATTTCTAGATTATTTAAATATTTTTATTCAGTAATAATAAAATATTTACTTTATTAAATTTTAATATATGATTTTTAATTAAAAAATAAGATAGAATAATAGAAAAATAAAATAGGAAAGAAAAAAAAAGGAAAACAAATAGTAAATCAATCTAAAGAAAAAGAATAATAAAAAAATAAATGAAGAGAAGAAAAAAATAAGAAAATAAAAAAATTTAAAAATTTTATTTAGATAATTTTTTAAAAATATATTATTTATAATAAGATTAATATGTTTTATTTTTTTATTTTTTATTTTTTTATTATTTAGTAATAAAATATTATATGATTCTAAAATCAATATTTCCATAAATCCAACGCTATCTATGATGACAATGGTGGGGATTTTGACTGCCATAGGTTGCAAATTGCCTTGCAGGTTCAGCTTTTGTGGTGCTCAAATCTTGGTGACAAATTAAGAACCCTACTAGCTTGTGCAGATGAAACAGAAAAAGTTTTCAAAAGAGAATACGAAATTAAAGCGATTAAATCAGAAAACATACGGAATTCAAAAATACATTATTATAAACTAACCACCTAACCAGGATATCTATATATAACTATATCTAATTAGCTAATAAACCAATTAACATGTTCAATTGATATATATATATATATATATATATATATATATATATATATATATATATATATATAGCCAGCCTCAAAACTCTGGTAATTCCTGTTCTCCCATGTAAACATCGTACCAAAAGTTGACATTATCGTACGCACTTGACGAATGCACCCCTTTGGAAGTCCCGGTGAGTGAACACTGGAAGTCCCGGTGAGTGGCGCCGGTGGCCGGAAGACTGGTGGTGGCACCGGAGTTACCAGGTGAGAGAACTTGAGACCAGAAATCATCATCCAACGATTCAGCCGGTTCTCTGTTATGGTCATCACTGTGACTGGTGGTGGAAGTGGTGAGGATTGACACATCACTGCTTGCATAGTTTGGAGAAGCCAATGGCTTTTCTTCCTCTGTGGTTTCGATGACTTGATTTGTGGGAGTAGTATTCACGGGTTGTTGTTTGGATATTTGTGTGCAAAAGAAGGAATGGTTTGGTTCTGTGTCTTTGTGTTGTTGGAAGAGTCTCTTCTTCAAGTGGGTATGCCACACGTTCTTTATTTCGTTGTCTGTGCGACCTGGTAACTTTGCTGCTATGGCTGACCATCTGCACAGTTAATGCTCATAATTACATCAGAAAGATTTTTTTTTTCTCTTCTTTTGTGATTTAATTTGATATTTTACAAGAAACAAATACTTCATCATCATATACACATAGCAGGTTAATTTCATGCAACAGCACTGTAAAGAGAAAAAAATTAGGTTTAATTTAAAACTTTAAAATGAAATTAAAATATATTAAAAATCAAGTTTTTATCTTTTAAGAGATTCTAAGCAATCAAATAGAAAAAATAAATAAATGTATTGACTGAGTTTCAATCAATTTAGTATAGATTAATATAAATTACAATTTTTCAAGTATGATAATCCATTTTATCACCTCTAAATTATAACGGGTCAGACAAAAAGTGGGTTTGAACCTTTAAAATAAATTCAAATCTAATAACAGCTTCTTCTTCTTTCTAAAGCTTCAAAAATTCTATTAAATTTGGTAAAAGAATGAAAAAAATGCTACAAACTCTTAATAGTTTGAGTATGTCAGACTTTTGTCTGTAATCTAGAAGATTAAATTGAATTCTAGTCTTCCCAGTTTTTCGAGTAAAAGAGTCAATTTTATTACCTCGAGATTGACTTTAGTTAAGACCTTTAAACTAGAGTTCAATTGCATCCATTTTCTTAATCTTTTGAGAATTCTAAAACATGAATTAAGAAAAATAAAAATTGAGACATTTTTCCATATGCACAATATCACAAAATGTCATTAATTTAGAAGACTGAATTAAATAATGATCTTTTAAGTCATTCAAATTGGTGGTGTGGCTCTCAGTTCTTCAAAGTAATAAGATAATTTACATAATGATATTTAATTATAGTGAGTAAGACAAATAAATGCTGGAATAAATTAAAGAGATTTCAAAAAGTAAATTGAAAATAAAGAAAATAAAAATTGATCATACAAGTAAACTCAAACTTTGTCATCAATCTAAAATATTATATTGATTTTTTTTGTTTTTTATACATTGTGTTTGTTTTCAGCTATCGAAATTTCAACAGTGAAAAAAAAAATCACGAGATTAGCGTTGATTTCAAAGATAACCTATAAGTAAATAGTAAGGATATAAATGATTATGTTTGAAATTTTTTTTAATAACATCTTATTTTTTGTATTTTACTATTATAATAATAAATAATTAATAAATTATATTAAAATTAATAAATATTAAATAGATTATTAATAATGATTTAGTAATGCATTTTAATAATAGTGATTTAGTAAAAAAATTGATATTTATTAAGACCAACAAAATAAAGTTTAAATCTAATAAAACCCCATGTTTTTATTTTAAGGAATTAAAAAAAATCAATGAAAAAGATGAAAAAAAAAACTATTGAACAGTCCTCATAATTTAAACTTTGTAATAAAAGTCTATTACTTTTTATACTATAAGAAATTTTTAAACCTAAATCAAATGAAATTGAACTAGAAGAAGCTCACGTTGAATTCAGATTCAAAATCTAAGTTACATTTCATAACCCTATGTTTCATCAAAAACGATTCACACGAATGAAACTCTGGGCTGAAAATGCAGTAAGAGAGATAAAAACAGAAACATGCAGATAAGATGGAAGGTAATGTACCTGTTCCCCAGAGTTTCATGCAACTTGATTATCATGTCTTCTTCTTCTCTTGAAAAATTGCCCCGTTTAATATCTGGCCTCAGATAATTTATCCATCGGAGTCTGCAACTCTTTCCACACCTCAAAAGCCCTGTTGAATAAATTAAGAGATAAGAAAACAACAACATTGAGCGAAACTCAGATTGGATTGAATATAAGAAGAAAGAAGAAGTAAGTATGTGCAGAATTACCAGCTTCTCTGGGTAGGGCACGCCAGTTTTTATGACCATGTGTGTTGATATGATTGATGAGAAGGAGATCTTCCTCTGGAGTCCATAACCCTTTGTTCAACCCCATATTCTCACAGCAAGGTTTTCTTCCCATATTTGCTGTCACTATGTTTCCCCAGACACCAGAAGGTTAAAGGTTCAAACTCAGAACCAGAAAGCCAAAACATCAAAATTAAATAGAGGTTGAATGTTGAAACTTGAACCCGACACATGTTATATACACTGCATTTATTAATGTTTTAATGTTATGAAACTAAAAGTAATTAATAATATCAATAAAAAAAATTAAATTCAAACAAGTTAAAAATTTGGAGTATTAAAAATCTTTTTCCATAAAACGGTCCATAATCTATAATTTAATTAGTTGAAACATTTATTATTAAAAATGTAATTATTATAAAATTTAATGTCTGGGTGTATATATATACATGCATATTAAATATGCATTTCAACTTATTGTTTTTATTATTATTTAAAATTAATGTGTTTAATATATTTCAAAATTAAAAGAAAAAGTTTAATCAAGGATAAATTAGTTAACAAGTTTAGTACATATATAAATTAATATATATATATATATATATATATATATATATATATATGATCACTTATTTCTTAATTTCTAAATTTCAATATTATTTTACAGATTCTACAACGATATATTAAAAAAAACATTTTTAATTATCATTTTTCATAAAATATTTTTTAAAATAAAAAAATCATAACATAAAAATATTTAATATTATTAATGTATTGCATAAAATATATTTAAATAGAATATTTTTTCATTTTCTTTAAATGAAATAATTAGTTTTATAACATTATTATATTCAATCGTATAAATAATATATTTAAAAAAATATTTAAATATAACCTTTATAAATTTTGAAATATGAAGTAATTATTCTTCTATCCTTTTTCTTATTTATTTTCTTTTTTTTCTAATTAAAAATATTAAATTAAAATTTAATAAAAACATATTAAAACTATTTTTTAAAATTAATATTAAAACTAATAAAATATCAATATTAATATTAAAAATAAATAAAATATCAATTTGTTATTTAAAATTATGATGGAAGTAAATTATTTTATTTATAATAATAATAATAATAATAAATTTAAATTATACTTTTATAATAAATTAATTATTCACCTAATTAAAAAATATCAAATATTTTATTTATAAAAATTTTATTTATTATAACTAAAAAATATTTATTTATTAGTATTTGTGATATTATAAAATATTAAAATTATAACTAATTACATATATTAAACTTAAATAATTTCATTAGTTTCGGTAAAAAAAAATTCATAAAATTATAGATAAATGAGAAAAAAGTATACATGATGAATTTAAAAATTAAAAATATAGATTAGTTTTTTTTGTTATACTATTTAAATTTAATATGTTTTTAACAAAATTTACTTTAATATACTTTTATTAAATTTTAATATAATATTTTTAATTAAATTAATATGAGAGAGTAGGACATGAGAGAGAAGAATAAAAAATATGGAGAGAGAAAAGAGAAAAAAATAAGAATTTAATATACAGAAAAAGAAAAGGATTATAATAAATGAAGAATAGACAAAAAAGACAAACAGTAAATGAGAAAAAAAAGTGAGAAAAGAGAAAAAGAAAAACTTCTTTCATATCAACAATAAATTTGTCTACTTCAATAAATAAATTGATGAAATAATTCTTTTTTAAATATTATTCAAGTGAATTTTTATATTTTTTTTTTACGTTTTTAATCTTTTCTTCAACATATTAATTATTATTATTATTATTATTATTTATATAATTAATTAAAGAATAATACTAATAATAATATCTCTTAATTTTTTAATCTGCTGGACGATTTTAAATATTGTTATTTATCTGTAATCAGAGGTTATAAGTACGCGGTGAAAAAAATATCAATTTTTTTCAATATTTAAAAAAAATAATCAAGTAAATAAACAAAAATAAGTTAATTAAAAATAATATATTTTATTATTATATTAATGAACTCTATAATAAAGGATAGAAATCACTTTATTTTAAAACTTTAAAGACGTTGAAGATAAACATATCTTTAATCTAAAACCTTAAAAATATTGAATTATGTATTTTTTTTCTTTCAGTTATATCATACTCGACTTCCTCAAACTCATATTTCAACATTCTATCTGCACTTAGAGGGTAAACAAATTTCACAAGTAAGAGAGCTTCGTGTTTTCTAAATAATTGTAATTTGCCCATATCAAATTTTTTATAATTTTAATTTACTAATATATTTTATCCATATATATATATATATATATATATATATATATATATATATATATATATATATATTGAATTTATCAATTATACGTATGGTTATATGACAACTATTATTTTTTTTACAACATATAACAAAATTTAACATAATTAGATTTTTAAGAAAGTGAATAAGAATATTTAATGTTATAAAAATATAATTTCTTAACAAAAATTTAATTTTCTTAAGTTGTCAGTATTCTTTTAAAATACTCTTGAATTAGCATTGTTACAATATGTATTAAGAGAAAGAATGACTGAGAATTTATATTTATCACTTTATATATCTTTCGGGGGAATAAAATAGGTGTTTGCTAAAAAATAATAATAAAAAAAAGAGCGACTTACATTTCATTGATCGATGACAAGTTGGTTTAATGTATAAATATATTAGTGATCCTTCTAATATATTACTTTTTATTGTTTTTGTCTTTTGCCTTTTCTTTTTACTTTAATCTAAAATTTTACTATTTTGATTACTACCATTAAATAATAAATATATTCAAAGAACCACTCAATATTTAAGCTTAATCTATGATGCTATTGAATCAATTGTCAAAATGCATCAACTTCAATTTTGGCACTCACTTGAAATTTGTCAAATGAAACATTTTTCAAATTTATCTTCCTCACTCGAATCTTGTAATGAATATTTTAAACAATTTTGATGTTTATATTTTTATAACTAAATTTCAATAAAAGTTAACTTGGAATACATACTAAATTTTAAATATTTCTGTAGAAATACCACTAGAAATTTACTATTCCTATTTAAATACCACTTATTTAAATATTGAAATGTCTTTATTAATCTCACAGGACGAACTTCGATTGCTCATACTGAGAAGTAGTGTTTTGTATGTGAAGTTATTTCTTCTTTGGCTTAGACAATTTTCCACCTATCATTTATGGTGGCTTTTTTTGTCAAGTTACTTCTATACCTCATAAGATCAATTGCTACTATATGCATCCTAAATTGCAGCAGGAAATGGAGTGTTGATCCTTTACATACAACTAAGGGCATGTATGCAATGCATCCACTCTCTCAGAATAGGTAAAAAAGGTACCAAAGAGAAGCCACTATAGGATTAATTTGAACACTAGAATGCAAAGCGGCTCCCACTTCCATCGAGAAAACGATCTGTATGCCACCCTTTGCACTGTAATTCCTTCAAAAACACAGGGAACACCTCATTCATCTTCTCATAGGCCTGTAGCAGGGTACTGCTGCTGAGCTGATGAGAGGACTTGTCAGCTTGTACGGCATAAGCAGCAACTAGCCACCCTCTCAATGCATCTACACCAATAGCATCTTGCTCCAATACCATATCAATGCACCTTCTATCACCATTTAAAAGAAACTTCTCCCCAGGGAATACTTGTTTTAATTCAAGAAGCTTTGAAGGCTTAATAGCCTTGTGCAAAGCCCTACCCACTCTTACATTTCCAGCATTTTCTATGAGTTTCCGAGGAAATAGCAAATCTTCTCGATATCTTAGATCAGCTGGGCTTGATACGTTTCCAGCCTGGCTTGAACTCAATCAACAGTCCAACAGCATTTCAGTTTCACAAATAAAGAATGGAAACCAAGAGTTCATTTAAAAAACTCAGACTACACCTTGAGAAAATCAGCCACAACCATTGCAGTTCTTTGAGGATTCAGGGTATTGACAGGAGTTGCTTTCATTTCTTCAGTAACGCTGTATATGTGTATAATTGACAGTAGAGGCCCCACAACCAACTACAAGAAAATGTGTCATATTCCATTAGTTTGGATTCATATAAATGCATATTTATTATTTCATTATGGCCTGATTATTTCTATCTTAAAAGTTATTTTCTTTAATATTTTTTTAGTGATGCTTTTAATGGCAAATAACCAATATGGTTACCAAAACATCTAACGAAAATCCCATAACTTTTACAGAATATGTTGCTCAAATTTTGATAAGGATCTATACCTTTCCCTGCATTGACGCACATACAGTAGATGCTAATTGAATTCCAACTCCGATTCCAATAACATTGAAGAGAGTTGAAATAGCCTCCCCTCTAGCAAATAGGTCACTGAGATTTCCTTCTTTAGCAAATGAAGAATATATAGGTAATCTTGTAGCTCTTGATGCAACAACTGCCATCCCCTGTTGACTCCAAAATAAATGGAAAGGTAAGTTTATACCCAAAAAGAATTAGTTTGATGAACAGGTACTCTCGCTAGAACAAGAAATGTTCTGTATCATGACATACATAAGCATGAATGAGTACGAAAAACTAGTATTTTATCAACTTGTAAGTCAGCAAATGTCACCACGTAAATTAATTTTAAACGCTCACTAAAAATGTGTACCTTGGCAAAATTTCCTAGACCAGCCATTTCAAGAAAAAGCTGTGGACACAAGGGAGAAAGCACTTCGAAACCAGTGCCTATATCATAGAGCACATCAGCTGCAAGATGGAAGGCTTATTCCGGTTATACACCATAGAACATGACAAATAAGAGCTAATATAAAAAAAAATGTTCCAACTATAATGCAAACCTAAAATTCTCCAACGTTTAGGCTCGGAATCCATTCTTGCACCCAAATTGCTACATATTAGATTCCCTAAATGTTGCATGCCATCCTTTAAAACCTGAATATTGGCAAGACAAACAAATTATAATAAATGCATGCCACCATAAATGGTCTGAGACATTGTCAAATGCAAAGTAGCTTCAAATTACCCAACTAACAGCAGTTGCTTGTGCAGGAGTGGGCCGCAAGCCTGCAGCAAATAGCAGTGACTGCAGAAGAATAAGCATACAGACCAAGAATACTAACAGTAATGGAGCAGAAAATGAGGCAAACATGTAACTTTCATTGCTAGTCAATCTAGTTCTGACTAGGAATCAGAGTGATACAGAGGAAAGACTAAGTAAGAACACTGTGTGATACTAAAGGATAACTCTCCCAAGAGAACTTGGCTATCCCCTTTTTCTTTATGTAAAAAATACCTTCCCCCTACCCCTTAATCTCTCCTTCTGCCTCCTTATAACTAACTCTATGTGTACAAAAAGAAACTAAATGACAAATTTAAATATTAATTAAAACTTTAGTGCTCTAATTCTCTATGTTCCTTCTTCTTCCGAATTTAGACTGTTGTTTCAGGAGGGGTAATGTACACTCACTTCAAAGCCAATTGTTTTGTAAGGATCCTTCTGTAGTAATTGTTAATAAATAGAAAGAACGTCTATATATATAGGCATTGCAATATATTAAAATAGGTCCACAGGATATATCCTCATGCAACATCAGCTGTGCTAGACTCTTTCTCTTCAACTCTTCATTACTTGTCTCCTCATGCAACACCTCATCTTCTCTTCAACTCTTATTTCAGCTTATGGCATCCTCTTTCTGTCAACAGAAAAATTTGTCTACTCTTACATTTTCCTTTATCGTCTTTTTTTAGATACATTTCTTTTAGCAAATGTGTAACTCTTCATGATAAATGAAACTACCTATTCCTCCCTTTTTCCAATTTCCTTCACTAAGATTTCCTTTCGTCCTTAGCTTTAACCTTGCCGTTTGGCAAAGAGCTGATGCATCAGTCAAATTTTAGGTATGATAATATATGAGATAATAAAGTAATACATCAACACAGGTTATCCTTCACATGCCAACATCTACTATGTTTGGAAGCGACTTTTCATTAAAAATAATCAAAACCAAAACCTGGTTTAGACAACATGTAACTAATAAACAGGTTTAAGTAAAAGAATTTGGCATCAATCAAGCAGAAACATGATTTGCTGATGTTCTCCAGTTATTAGAAGAAGACCTGAGTTGATAGAACCGATAGAGCTGCACTGGCAGTGTGTTGCAGTGCTCGAAACTGAGTGTATCTGAGGTAACCTTCATTCACACTGCAAAGCGAACACCCAAAAAAGGAATTAGCTAATGAAATAAACCACCATTGGATACAACCTACTCAGGAAAAGACCAAACAACCTGTACGGATATCCTGAAGGGAAAAATTTATTCAGGAATGAGTCAACAATCTTGTGGTATAATGGCCGAGAATCACCAACAATCTTCACCTACAGAGAAACCAGAAACACACGTTGTAAGGGAGTGCGGCAAAGACACTTTTAAGAAATACACAATTTGTTTTCACCGTTGTACTAAAAATTGGAAAAATGAAACAGAGAAATAAGATACATCCTTCAAAGTAAAAATAAATTAAAAAAAAAACGTAGAAAAAGTAAAAATTAACATTGGAAACAATATTTTAGCTACTTAATTTTTTTTTTTAATCACAGCTTTGTGAAAAGTTTCCTTAAACTTGTGCAAGGTCTCCCATCCAATGAGAAGAAGAACAAAGCTTACATGAATGAAGTTCAATAGATGCTTTTGGTGTTGTTATAAAATCAAAAAGGGAGTTTCACCTATGCAATTCGAAACTTATGTTGACCTTTAATACAAACTTATACTACAGTTCTGATTAAAAGCAACATCGAAAGCAACAATGATATTGTGAAGATAGAGAGAGGGTAAAAAGTAGGAGAATACGGAAAGTTGGCCATGGGGTTCAAACTGGAAGCGGCGACAAACAGAGACAGAGGTTTCGAACCACACAACAGGAGTGCCTTCACATTCTTTGTCTGTCTTTTTCTTCCAAATTTTCAGCTTCTCCTAGTTTTGCAAAACAAAATTAAAAGCCAAAAGCATAGAAGAAAAAGAAAAGGAACACAACAAAGGGAAGAATCGATACCATGAAATCCATGAAGAGAATCTGAATTTGGAGAGAAAAGGTAAGGATTAGGATTGAACACTGAAACTGGAACAGCGTTGACGAGAGCGCTACACAGTACCCAAGATTTGGATTATTCTAGGAAATAGGAATGGATGTTTTGCCATTACTACGTCTTCTGTTAGTTAAAAAAAAAATAACATGAAAATATACTACTTCATAAAAATTCCATATCTAGTGAACAATTACAGCAAACATGTTAAATGAAAAATGTAATATATCTTATTCAAAATTAAATTGATTAAAAAAATTATTTTTCTTTCGATGACGTAATAAAGGGTGAGGAAAAAATTGAAGAGGAAAAATTAAAAATGAGTAAACAAAATGATGATTTGATTAAGAAAAAAATTTAAAAAATAAGAAAATATTTTAATTGTGATATTATTTTTTTTTTTACATATTATTATTTTGTTTATTTGTTATATTAGTATTTCACCATTATCTTAATAAATATTCATATTATTTTTTCATTAATAGTATTTTTTATTTATGATTAGTTATTTTAAGTTAGCTAGTGGAAATGTTATTTTGCTTCTATATTTATATTTTTTTATCATAAAAAAGATTTATATGATTAAAATATCTAATTATTTATAATTACGATGAAAAACAATTAAAAAATAAGTAATTAAAAACTGAAAAATTTGTACTAGTATTACCAAAGATATCATCAACAATGAAATTGTAAATATATATATATATATATATATATATATATATATATATATAATTTCAGTTAAAAATATTAATTTTATTAATAGTGTTGGAAGTCCATATCATTTGATATGATTTAAATATATGTTAAATTATTTTATTTTATCTCATTATTAATTTTTTAAATTTTATATTATTATTAAAAGATGTGATAATAAATGTGAGATAAAAATTAATAAGATAAATAGTATATAAAAAAACTCATAAATTTAATATTTTATATAATTAATTCATGATTTACTTTTCTATGTTTTTACATGTTTTGGGATTACACAATTGAGGAAATTAATTAAGGGTTATATTGTATATAAGGGTTAAATTGTTTTATTGTACAATGCTCTAAATCAACAACACTATTTTCACAATGGAAGAGTAAATAAAATCCATTGTCAAATCTGTGTACAATGGGACTCGTATTTAAACATTTTTTTATTTTTAATTGTAATCAATATTAGCACGGTATGTCTAATCAAGGATTTTTTTTTTAATGGAAAGATTTTGGAGGCAGGTTCTATTTTAGAATGGTTGTGATTTTTATTACAGCGATATGTTAAGGATTTTAAAAAATTGTTTTATTTTGGTTATTGTTTCTTTAAAAATATTATTTTTTAAAATTCTCATTTTTCACGATTTTATTTTTAAAAGGTTTCTCAATTAGTTAAAAAAAATGAAGATATAGGTAAATTATTCTTTATCCCGAGTGCATTAAAATATTTTTTTATGGTGAAAGAAATGTGTGATAATTGAATTTATGAGTGAACTTGAGGAATCAATTATAACCTTTTGTTATTATCCATAATAAATATATGGGACTAAATATAATCCCTACACGTTGTCATAACAAAACTCATAAAGTAGAAAAAAAAGGAAGAAGAAAGAAACGCAGTGAAGTATAATGACCAAAACAAAATCAATCTTATATATTGGAGATTAAAATGATACATATTTATAATAATAATAAAATTAAAGGGTAGGATAACAAAGAGTGATTACAACGCAAAAATAAAACAAATGTGGAGAAGTCAGTGGCGGATCTTAACTATTGGTTTTTGGAGGGGGACAAATAATATATTATTAAAAAATAAAAATAAAATATAAAAAGGTGAAAGAGAGATGAAAGGATAAAAAGATAAAATTGTAAATGTATAAGTAAATATATAAAATGATCATTAAGTTTAGGGGGACAAAATCATAAATTATATGAAAGTTACAAACCGAGGAGAGACTAAGAGGATAAAATTTTAAATATACAAGTAAATATATTAAAGTTGGGGGGGGGGGGCCAAAATCATAAATTACATGAGAGTTATAAAACTTTAGAGGGGTCATGACCTCCTCAGTTCCCAAGAAGATCTGCCACTGGGAGGAGCGATTCTGTTACAGAAAATATGATTTTGTTGCACAACTTGGTCATGCCTAACTTGGAACAAATGTTTTGAAACACAGTGGGGGAAAGAGATTTTGTAAGTATTGAGCAATCTATGAGGAAGAAGAGATCGGTAGCACCTCAATCAAATCATTACTTTTGATAGGATAATATAACAGTCTATATCAATGTGTTTTGTACGTTTATAGAAGACTTGGTTGTAAGCAATTTGAAGTACAGATTAGTTGTCACAATAAATCAAAGTTGGATGTGTGAAAGGAATATTAATGTCATTTAATAGATATGTCAGTCACTGAATTTCACAAGTAGTAGAAGTTAAAGCGTGCAACGTCCTAATTCAGGGAGCACTCAGTCCTATTAGAGTCACTGAAAGCCTTGAGTTGGGTGGTATTGAAAGTCGTGAGAAAAACGTAAGAACCTGGACTTTGTTTTAGATAAAATAAAACACGAAAAGCAGTTTGATGATAAGAGGTTATAGGTTGAGAGACAAATTGACTAAGGTGTTGTACATCAAAAACAATTTGTGGACGTGTAGTGATAAGGATCAAACAATGTTGTACCAGTGGTAGTATGTAGACTATTGGAGTAATCCATTGGTGTAGATGATGGTCGGGAATGTCAGTAATTAAATCAAGTCACGATGTTGAAAACTTTGATAGGATATAAAATGTTTGATTGGACCAAAACTTCCCTTATGAGAAAGCTATGTAACTTTATTGGACAACATGAAGACAGCCACACTGGTAAAGCTAATTGTAGGCACTGCACAAAATTGTAGGCGCCGTTCAATTAGAGCCACAAGTTGAAAAACTATTTTCTACAATTCCTTCTTGAGTGGGTTGTCTAAAATTAATATTATAATGTTTTGTAAAGCCTATAAAAGGATAATCTTATACGGATAGTATGACATCAATTTTAGATTGAAATATATTGAACAGAAACTCTCTCTTCCTCTCTCTTGTTTCCGCTATAAGTGTGTGAGTGTTTTTTGATAAAATTATGTCACACTGATATCAGGAGGTAAGCAAACCATTGTCGGAGAAGAGACTAAGGGTATACTTACTTTGACATAGGTATATGCCAGAAGGGTTGCGGTCAACTTCAAGGCCCAAGAAGAATCGCAAATCACCGATGTTCTTAATTTTGAAGGCAGAGTTAAGTAGAGAGGTGATGTGAGTAATTTTCACAATATTGTTTCCTACTAGAACAATGTCATCCACGTAAATAAGGAGAATGATGATTGTGAAACCCAACTTTTTCAAAAAGAGAGAATGATAAGATGATGACCGATTATAACCATTGGATAAGAGAAATGAGGAGAGTTGCACAAATCACTGACGGCTAGCCTACTTAAGGCCATAGAGATTGAGTTATGCGTTATATTGCATTATATATTGCTCAAATTTTTTATTCTTATACAATATAGGACTTAGAATCACATTTATATACCCAACAAGTTCATAAAGGGGATATCCGTTTGTGTGTTGTTTGAAGCCAATAAAAATGGAATGGTGAGCTCGTGTGTCAAGTTTAGTGTGATTAGCAGTGACAATACTATTGTAACATAGACAATTGAAAACACAAAGGTTAGAAATGTTAAGGGATGGTAATAAAGTTTTTCATAAGGGAATATGTTATGCAAGAAAGGGATGAAAATGCAATTAATTAAATAGACTAAATGAAGTAAAGCAAAACACCAAAAAAAGTTTATGGTAAATTTGATTGAAAAAGTAAGGCCCTATAATATTTAACAAATGTTGGTGTTTCCGATTAGTAATTCCATTTTGTTGAAGTGTTTCTATGCATGTGATTTGATGGATGATGCCTTTAGATAGAAAATATTGATGCATAAGAAATTCAGCACTATTATCTGTGCGAATATGTTTAACACGACTCTCAAATAAATTTTCTATACAAGTGATAAAATTGATGATATGTGTAAATAAACCCATGTAAAACATGTGTGATCATCCATAATTGTTAAAAAATACTTGTATCCATGCATTATGCATAGATAATTTCAAACATGGTCCCCAGATATCTATATGCAACAGTTCAAAAGGTTTAACTGCACAAAAATTGTTTAATGAAAAAGATAATTTCTTTTATTTTGAGTGGAGACATGTGTTATAAATAAAATTTTTATCACTGGATAAACAAGGATAACATTATTTCATAGAAAGATGACCCAAACAAAAATGTCAAAGATCAATAGGTAAGTGTGTTACATTAAAGATAAATAATGTTGGATAGAACAGGTGAGAAAATAGTAGGTTTGAGAACAAGTTTGTAGAGTCCATCATTTACATCAATTGTACAAATTTGCTTCCTGGTAGTCGCATCCTGATACAAGAATTAAATGAAAAAGCCAAGATACAATTAAGAGAATTCACAAGTTTAAAAATAGAAATGAGATTAAAAGTAAAATTGAGAATATAAAAAACATGAACTAAATAATAGGAATAAGATAAATGGACAATTCTAGAATGAGTACCTATAACATGTTAACCAGCAGGCAACTTAACAATTACAAGATCAATTTTAACATAAGAGTGAAAATTATCAAGTGAAGAAGAGACATTCGGTAGCTCCCGAATCTAAGATCTAAGGGGATGTAATGGGAGTTGAAGATTAAGACTGAGATTGCTGAATTAAAGTTAGCAGTACTTAATTTTGTTGAGGAGAGAAACGAAATTTTTAGTTGGTTCTCGTGATTTTGTTGGTCATTTGTAGTGAATTTACTTTCACCAGTCACCATGTTATTGCTGAGAGTGGTTTTATTACCATTGTAGAGTTTGTGTCCTAGAGGAAAATCATGTTTTCTCTAGCATATGTCAGATGTGTGCCCTGTACGTCCACAATGAGAGTAAAATTTAGTATTGCGATTAATAAATCTGTTACCAGTTTTATTGTCAGTTTTTGAAGGAAACTCATGTTTCTTATAACACACACTTGTAGTATGACCCTTACGTCCACAATGAGTACAGTGAAGAGGCAACAACAACATTTATCACTGTTTCTTTAGTGTCAGATCTTACATTAATGAAGAAATTATTCCCTGTAAGTTGTCTCTCTTGTTAAGACATATAAGAGAAAATTTTAGAAAGAGATGACAAATGATCCATGACAAAAAAGTGTGAACGAATATTACTGTACTCTTCATTTGTTTAATTCCTATAAAAATTGCATAGCTTAATCTTCAAGTTTTTGTTGAGCAAGTTTAAACAAAATAGTACAAATGTATTTGGATTGATAGATACAAACTAGATATGATATAAAATTATCAAGTTCATCCCAAATAATTCTCAGCTTAGTAAAACATTCACTAATATGAAGTTCACCTTACTTCATAATCAATGCTTCAAATTGTAAATTAGAGACACGAAGAATATCACTTTGAGAATATTTATATTTCCAATCCTTCTAGATTTCATTTGCTTATTCATCCATAGGATGCGTTGTCGGATTGAAAGAGAAATAAAATAAATAATCAATGACACAACTATATTATTGCATTGATGACATGATGCATATATTGAATCTGACTTTGGTGGTTAAAGAGCATTGTCATCAATGAATTCAACTTTGTTTTTAGTAATAAGAACAATGATCATAGATCTACTCCATGAGTGGTAGTTACTAAAATCAAGGACATGTGAGAATAAGACAATTGTTAGATTCTCACTCAGATATAAAAACAAGTGGTGGTTGACATTAGGAATATATTTTGTATTTCCACTCATGATGACAATGGAAAATAGGAGATAAGAATGCGCATTAGAGTTCTTCAATGAAAATGCTCTAATACCATAATAAATATGAGACCAAATACAATCTCTTATATTGTCACGCCGAAACTCATAAAATAGAAAAGAGAGATGAATGAATCGAACGCAAAATATAATAATCGAAATAATATATTGAAAAATAAGATAATACATATTTATAATATTAATAAAGTTTGACAAAATAACAGAACATAATTACAAAGAAAAAAATGTGGAGGTACTGTTAAAAAATATAATTCTAATACAGATATAAGATGGTTAAGAGGACATTGGATAGTTGTTATTTTGATGACTTTGGTTTTGGTGACGAGTAAGAATGATGGGCAAAAGTTGTTGTTGTTGGTAATAGCGGCAAAATCAATAGCAAAGACTTCGTATTCCACCATCTTTCATAGTCTCTGTAATTCATCAAGTGGTTCTACCGTTGCTTAGTCAGCTAATGTCTCTCTTGCATCATCCATAGTGATCTTGACCGTAATTGGGTATGCATAGTGAGTATAATAGATGAAACTAGAATATAATAACTTAATCGTTTATCACCGTTTTCAAGCTTATGAATTATATCTTCATTATATGTATTAATTACTTCTTCTTTTTTTATCGTTGAAGTAAATTTTTATTCTATCTTATCTAATGAGAGTAGTTGTTTTTAAAACATATGAGATAATAGTATACACAATTCAAGTTCAGGATAATTGTTATTACTTTATTAATTCATTATTAGGATAATCTAATAATATCATAGTGTAAACTAGAATTTGGATAGTGGGTTCTATTAATTTACGGACCATTTATTGTTAGAAATAGGAACAGATGTTTTGCCTTTATTATATGTTCTGTTAGTTAAAAAAAAACATCAATAATGTAAATAATATATTATTTTAAAAAATTACTTAAATAAAATTTCTGTAAATTACTAAATAATATTTATTATTATTCATATTTAAAATTTGATTATGAGAAATAAAATCTCTAATATAAAAGAGTTATTTTTCTCTCTTCCCATTTTTTTATTCCTTTTTTTTCTCTTCATATTCACTTTTTTTTCTCTTTTATTTATTTTTATTTTGTTTTTTTCTCTCCTTTCACTCCATCTTATTTTTTTAATTAAAAACACTATATTAAAATTAAAAAATATCAATTAAATTAAGTTTTGTTTAATGTGTTTAATTAAAATTAGTTAAAATAAAAAATTTATAAATTCAATAAATATAACTTAAATCAAGATAATTGTATAATTAATATATAATAAAAAATATTATTCATCTAATAATCTTATTGTAAAAATATCTTTATAATTTAATATATCGATAATATATATATATATATATATATATATATATTATAATTAATAATTATTAAGAAAACATTTCAATATTTATTTTAATGTTTTTAATAAATAATTTTTAAATTACTTAATCCTACTAATAATCATAATCTAATCTAATTATTATTAAAATAAATTACTAAATAAAAAATATAATTTTATTTATAAATATTTGATATTTTTAAATAATCATAATTAATGTTTATTTTAAAAAAATTATTTTTAAATAGTTGATATTTTTAAATACTCATAATTATAAATATTTTTAAATATTTGATATTTTTAAATAATCATAATTAAATAAAATCTAATCCTACTAATAATCATAATCTAATCTAATGATAAAATAATTTTAAATAATTAATGTTGATTTAAAATTTTTTATTTTATCATGTTTTTAGTATATTTTAATATAATATTTTTAATAAGAAGAATAAGAGGATAAAGAAGAATAAAAGACAATAATAGTGAAAAAAAGTGAATGAAAAAAAGAAAAAGAAAAAATAATTATATATAAATAATAAATATATTTAATTAAGTAAATAATTAAGAAAAAATTATTTAAATATTTTTCTTTATTTACGTGATATTTACGATAAATTAAGAATGTTTATAAGGAATATTATCTTTATTAGTATATAATTTTTATTTTAGAATTTTTAAGATTAAATTGATTGATGATTACTAAAACTAAACGACAAAATGAAATAAATTAAAAGGGAGGAAATAGAATAAGATACAACTAAATAAATGAAATATTAATTAACTACTTTTTAACCAAAATTATGTTAAATATAACCTTAAAAAAATTATTTATTATATAAAAATATAGGTGTATAAGATATATATTGACTAACGGGACATAAGTTTTGTCACAACTTTAAAATAAAAACATCTGAAATTAAAAATATTTAAGAAGATATAAACTCAACTATCTATTGCTATATTAATTTTTAAAATAAAAATAAAAATATTTCCTAAAAATAATTGTTTATTATATTTAATCATTAAATATATGTTTATATTATAATTTTAGTCATATATTTTAATATTTAATTAATGTTATAGTCGATTTATTCTTTTAAATATTTTCTGATTTATTTCATTCAAGAACATGAAAATAATGTTTAATGTCTGTTATAAGTCAATAATATTTTATTTACTCAAATAAATTAAGTACAAAAACATGTAATAATTTATATTTATATTCATATATATTAAAATATAAATATTCAGACTCTTAAGTTCAATAAAATATAATATAAAAGCAAATATTTATTTTATCAAAATTATATATTTTTTCTTGAAAGAATTAAAGAATGAAAGTGCCCAGTATCCATGGGTGATCTAATCGCCAACTGCTATGCACTCCACATAGTGTTTCAATCCTCTCAGCAGCTGCTGACGTGGCATAACATGATTGGTTAATGTCCAAGTTGCGAACAAATCAAACAGAAAGGGAAAATCAGTCTCGTAGGGTGACTGACGAAATTGGGTATTTAGGGTTTCTTTTATCTTGGTTTCTCACATTCCTCGATAATTCGTTCTCTCCAACATGGAATCGGAAGGTAATAACCCAATATTTCCCCTGCCCTCCGATTGATTTGAAAAATTTTCGGGTTATTAAACATATAACGGAATGTCCTGTTTTAGGGCACAAGAGCACGGTGAACCCGTCCGCAATGTTAGCTTCTCTGCTTAGTAGGAGAGCCAAGCTTCACGAGGAGCTTCGTAACATTGAGAAGCAGGTAAAATTTTCAACGTTTTCTTCTGGGCTCTATTGGTTGCTTCGAAAGGAGTGAAAAAATGTCTCTTTCTTCACACTGTTACTATTTATTAATTTTTTTGTACCTGTAAAATTGTGATTTTTGTTATAAATAGTTTTATCTTTCACTTGTTAAAAAGTGTGTTTTTGTTGGGTTGGTCGATTGATTCCGTGAGCAATAACTGATCAACATGTAATTTAACCTCAAATCGGGCACATCACTTACTCCACAATATCACCTTCATGTATAACCTCCTAACTGGTATTTGTACATAATCTTTAATCCTCATGATTTTAGATTCTATTATTTTAGATTCTATGGAATTGGGTTTCTTGTTTGATTGAGTGTGTGGTGATGGGACTTCGTGTTGAATGTCCGTCATGCTCAAACCCCATACCCATGCTTAAGTTGATCAAATTGACATAACAAAGTGAAGTTATGCTCCTGAAAAAAAATATTCCGTGTGCTTTGTAGCAAGCAGTAGTTGACATTTTCCTAACACACAGGTTTATGATATGGAGACAAGCTACTTACAGGATCCTGGACAGTGTGGGAATGTATTAAAAGGATTTGAAGGTTTCTTATCTTCATCGAAGAACACTGCACTGTATGAATTTCTTCTCCCTTTCTTTCTTTTTTTCTAGAGTCTAATAATTTTCTTCCCTACCCTACCTCGACTTCTCAAAATCAAACAGCCTTGTCTTTCGGTTCTCGTAGTTTCTGGGTTTCATTTCATTTCTCTTGAAAATAATGGCATACATATTTTCTGCCAGAGTCTGTGATTCTCATAATCCTGAGGAAAATAGGAAGTCTAAGGATGTGATTTCAAGTGTGTGATCTGTTATATACTTGGTCACACACCATATTTACTGGGCCTCAATTTGGGTTTTCTGTAATCTTGATTCATTGATTATTAGAGATAGCTTACATAGTTATATAGTTAGAATAACATATTACAGAATGTAAAGAATAACATCTCTCATCTATTCAAAATGATCAACTCAACTCTGGAAATGTAGAGGAACTTAGTTTTATAGTTAACTATGTAAGCTATCTCTAATATTGATGGTTGGGAAAAGCTAACTCATAAGTTTGGTAACCTGTATTGATTCCTGGTATTCCACATAAATTGATACATTACTGGGACATGCCTGGATGCATTAGTAATTGAATCTGACCAAAAATTTTTAATGAAATATAATTGTTCAAAATGTTGAGAAGCAGGGACAGTTCATGAAGTGTGATTTTTTACTCATGATTATTTTCTTATGATTAATTTTTTATTGTGTTTCGATGTATCAGAGTCTCTGAGATGACTTAATTTTTCTTCATGCATGTGTTCATGTGTTTTAATTGAGATATAAATTTTATCATAGTTTGGCTCCATCTTAATTTTGCATGACATTGATGAATCATATTTCTTGATGGCAGCTTGAAGAGGTCAAGAAAGTTTCAACCTGAAGATAGACTCTTTTCATTATCTTCAGTGACCTCACCAGCGGTATGTTTCTGATATTCAGTGATATATGCTTTGAACAACAATAGAAAAAATAACATGCACTAGTTAATGCTATATACGTTTTCTATGTAAGATAAGAAAAATATATCTTCGTACAGTTCATCTCTTGTTCAGTTTGACATGCTTGTTTAGAAAAAAATGGGCATAACATAAATACTTTTGTTTGATAATGAAAGCATTAGAATGTCAACTTCTGGGAAGAGAAGAGGTGATTAGGACATGTTGGAAGAATGAGTTTTTTGCATTTTTGGTTACATCCATGATTCTGTGCTATTTTGATTTAATCCCCAGCCAAGAGTAATGGCAGAGTAGAGCTCAGTTAGGAAGTAAGGCAATTTGATCTGATGATACAATCAATTTGGAGCAGAAAACATTTCAGAGGTTTACTTTTGTAGAAATATGAAACAATTATTGAATTAGAAATTCATGCTAGACTCTCAGATATGACTATACTGTGTTTTTGTTTTATACAGGGAGTACATTAAATCTTTATCATTTATGATTCAGGAAGTCTATTTTCTATTGAAAGAAGAGATATTAATGTTTTATATGTGCTTAGGTCAGGTTTTGTCCTGTCATGTATGCCAGGCATCTTGTTAACTAATTAGAGCAGTTAATATTTTGAAAACTTCAAACTGGAGTATCAAAATCTAAACATTGATTAAGAAATAATAGCATCTTTTGTTGCAAAAAGGAGCATCGAACTCTGAATTCTTTTACTGGGCTCGATCCTTCCATATGTTGATATCCTATCATCCTTTTATGTTTTCTTTCACCCAGTTCTAGTTTTTCATATCCATTTGTTTAGTATGAGTATTTTTCACAGAAAGGTTATTTCTGACTTGTAACCTGCATTTTCTATAGGCAGAAGAGCTTGCAGCTGGGCGAGATGGTGAGTTCATCTAGGCTAGGATTTCAACTACTTTCTTGGCTTGAATTTCGTTTATTCCTTGTGTTTCTGTTTATTTCAGATGGTAGATCAGACTATGGTCCTGGTCGTTCAAAAGGTGGAGGAATTTATGCTAATGGACAGTAAGCTCTCAACTATTGTATCTTAATTAAATAGTTGATAAATAGCTTATTTTACAGAATCTTTCCATAAATAATTGCAAATATGTACAGAATGCATGCTGTATGGACTAAAAAAATTATTTGTATACCATAGGGGTAAACCAAAGAAAGGTAGAGGTGGGGCGAGAGATGCAAAGAGAGCAAGGATTTCAAGTGAACAAGATTTTGATTATGAAGATGATCCTGACCTGACCCTGTGATTAAAAATGCTGCTTCCATACCGAATAGATAGGCACTTGTTTCTTTGCGGTTCCTCTCATTGAATGTGTATATATTAATCTAGGCCTGATAGTTATGAATTTTCAACATTTTCAGTGAAACAAACTCCATATGCTGATACAGCAAATTTTTCGTTGCACAATTTTTTGTTGGCTAGTGATGATTATTTTTAAGCTTGTTCCTTCTAGCATGATTTGTTAATGTTGGAGCGGTGCTGTACAGAACAAGAAAATAAAGTCAACTAATTTTAATTGTGATGCCTTCAAATTGATGTTTCCTGTCGTCTTTTGAGGTTTATAGTGGTCATTTGAACACTGTATTGTTGCAGTTCAGTGTTGCAGGTTTGCCCGCAGGAAACAGGGATTATAAACAGGGGATTTTTAAAAGAAAATCTGTTTCAGTTTTTTGTTGTATTTAGTAATGAACGGGGTTTCTCAGCAATTGCTCTATCTTAATTTCGTTGAGTGATATCTAAATATCTTTAATTCATTTAAACAATCCTGTATGACTTAATTTAATAATGTAATAATTTAAATTATTATTATTAATATTATATTAAAATAGATTATTGGATAATGTTTGAGTTAGGTAAGTTATCAAAATAATTTTTTCATTTATGCAAATTTTCTCACTTTGGTATCTGAATACTTTCTCAATGAGGGTCAGGGTTCTCTTTTTCATTCTTATTCTCTCTCAACAGAGTGAGAAGGAAGATTCTGTATCCTTAAGAATGACAAATTGAAAAACATATTTTTGGACAAGTTCATAGTTCTCATTGCATACTACTAGAGTATAAAAAAATAAAAAAGATAACAGAGTTTGTCTGAAGGCTGATGAGAATTAATAAGAATAAGAAAGAGAATGTTTACATCGAAGAATTAATAACGTATGAGAGTATTTGAATACAATAAACTTGGAAACAAATGTCCAATAGATTTTCTATGAAAACTAATTTTTGACTTAAACACTATTTAAGTAGGTGTTATGTCTCTTAAACTCATTTATTAAATAAATAAATAGAGTAAGTTTTCACTCTCCTTCGCTCACTTCACAGCCGCAAACGTAAAAATTATTAAAACTAACCCATGCAAAATAAAGAGACAAGAACATTAAAATGTATAATATGCAAAATTATTAAAATTAACCCGTGCTCTCAGGTACTTTTTCTTATAGTTAATATTAAAGAATAATGCTATATTAGTAATTAAGTTTGGAATACACCCTATTAATAATATTTTTAATAATAAATAATAATTATTGTTTTTATATTAATAAGAGTGGTTCTCTAAACTCAGTTTTTAAAGCATCAATTTTTTAGTATTGAGAATCATTTTCTTAGTATTAACTCTCAAATTAACGCGTTGTCAGAAGTCTCTCGACCCCTTTGTTGTGCGAATTATATGTAAATTCTGATGAAATCCTCTTCAATTATAACACATTCCATGGACAAACAACACCTACGGTGTCTATTATTTATTGATGATTATTGTTGGTACAACATGAAAAAGCAACGGGTAGATAAAGGAAATTTTGGTGATAACGCCCTACCCGAAATGAAGTACGAGTTTATTTTATTTTTGTTAGAAAACACTCGTACTCTAGACAAAGACAATACTGTTGCTGCATTTAACCATTTCACTGCTGCAGTGGCAATCATTGTTATTATGATTTGGTTGCTTCCTCTTCTTGCTCACCAGAAATCTCTTCCAAAGATCTACCCTTTGCTTCAGGCACCAAGAAAGTACAAAAGAAGCCTAATACGTTAACCACTCCTAACACAATCAATGTGTTCTTCACACCAATACCTGGAGGGTACCCTGCATCTGTTTTGCTTGGATTCTGGTTTTGTGCCAAGTACAAAAACCCGAATGAACCAACTATGGCACCAAGCTTCCCGGATGCTGAAGATATTCCATGGCAAGTGGCTCTAAACCTGGCTGGGAAAATCTCAGCTGGCACAACAAATGTGGTTGCATTAGGCCCAAAGTTAGCAAAGAAGAAGGTGAGCGAGTAAATGACCACAAACCCTACTCGGTTTTCCTTAAAAGTCCAGTGGTCATAGGGAATGGCAAGAGCAAACATGAAGACAGTCATAAAGAAGAACCCCATCAACTGGATGGTAAATCTTCCTATGATATCAATGAAGGCCACAGTGAACCAATATCCTGGAACTGTACTGCAGAGAGCAATGAGAGTTTGAGCCCTTGCAATTTTGTAAACCTCCTCAAGAGCATTCATGGTCTTTGCTGGAGGAATCCAACCAATTGCGCTGAAGATGTCCTTTTGGAACAGATTTTGGCTGTAGAATGCAATGTCAAGCAAGAACCATGTGCTTGTTGTTCCAAGTAGATGAAGTCCGTGGCGACTCATGAACTCCTTGGAGAACAAACCGTATGATTTTTTCTCATCCTCTTGTTTTGGCTCAGCTTGAATCTCCATCTGCATAACCTTAGACATATCTGCTGCAGCCTGCTCCATGTTCTTGGCAACTAATGCAGTGTAGCGTGCAGTTTCTGGCATCTTTAATCTCCAATAATAAGTCAATGCAGCAGGAAGTGCTCCCACCATCAGAATTATCCTCCAAACACAGTCTGCTTGTGGAACAGTTGAACCCAATGGATCAACCTCGTATGGTGCAGCATTAAACTTGGCCTTGAATATAGATGATATTATAATGGCAAACACACCTCCTACCAATATTCCAAATCCTTGCATGGCAAACACTGCAGCTATAAAAGCACCACGAGTCTTCTTGTTAGAATACTCAGACATTATGGTGGCTGAAAGAGGGTAGTCTCCACCAATACCAAAACCAAGCCAGAAGCGGCAGAAGCAAAGAGTTGTCATCACAGTCTTTGCATCACGTCCGAAGGAAAGACCTGAAGCAATAGAAGCTATTACCATGAGCATGAGTGTCATGCCATAAACCTTTTTTCGGCCCAGTTTGTCACCGAGCCAGCCAAAGAAGAGTTGCCCAGAAAGTGTTCCAACAAAAGCTACACCGTTAACAGCAGCTGATACATTCGGAGGTAATGATCCAGGCTTTTCAGCCCCATCAATGTGGTAGTATATACGACCAAGGAGCTTTGTGACAAGTGATATACAGAACAGATCATAGGCATCAGTGAAGAAGCCCATTCCTGAAACGATGATTGCTGTGAAATGATACCATTGTGTTTTTGCCACGTCCAGGGCATTCAGCACCTCAACCTGCGCCTTCCCCATACCTACCAACCTTTCCTTCTCTCTCCCTTCCTCTCACTCCAAATTTTTGTACTTCTCTCTCTCTCTCTCTGTAAAAGTGGAACCATTGCAGAGCTTAAAGTTAAACTTTCTTTTCTCAATAGCAGAAACACAACTCAATAACGATTAAGTTGTGAGATAATCAAATTTCTTACAGATTTCTCATCACACAATATAACAAAGGTAAATGGTGGATGAATTTGATTAAAAAGTACAAGAGTAAGAGTTTCATAAAAGAAAAAAACAGACAAGAAATCTCAAAATTTGCTTGGAAATTATTATTTTTTAAAGAAATAAAATATCTAACTAATACTCATCTACAGTTTTTTTTTTTTTTCAAAACAAACATTTTCGTATGTACCAAGTATTCAAAAAACGTATCGTTACTCGTTATGTAGCAAGTACGTTTGACAAATAAGTATGCTGCAGACGTTTCCAAACTTCATAATGAAACAACCATCTTCCTAGAAAGAACTCCAGGAAACAAAAGAATAAACTGGTGAATATTCAACTCAGATAACCTGAACCCCGAAAAATAAATCAATGTGATACATTACATATAAGCTTATCTTTTTCCATCATTATATAATATGCAAGAAAAATACAAGAGATAGATAATTATTATACAAATTAATTGTTATATATATAAATTGTTGAACATCTAACGTTTTTCAGAAACAAAACAGATGCATGCACAAACAAATATGAGTTCAGTTTCATTTTGCATATCAACTCAGATTTGATCATATTGAGTCATTTACGTTACATATTAAGATATTCAAAGAGAAGCTATGCATGCATATATCCCCCAAAACAAAGGGTGCGTTATAGCCTCATAATGCATGCATGGGAATGTGATGAGACAACAGAAGGATATATTGAGAGGGAAAAAGACAAGGGTGGATCATTATGAAACTGACCTGCAGTGGGAGAGAAGTTAATGAATTTGGAGAGAGAAAGTGACAGAGAAGAACTAGGAATCGGGTGTGAGTAAAGAGAAGAATGGAGTTGCCAACTTTTTATAGTGAACACAATAGAGAATGCAAGAAAATTGAAGCAAAGAGAAAATCCGGATATTCCAGAAGCATATACCCTGCTTTTGCGCTTGTTCTTTCCTCCGTCCAATACTCTATTATGTTATTCTCTTGTAATACTCTTTTGAGTGATCTTATTCTTATATTCCAAACACCTATTCAAGAACTCCAAATAATAATATGATAATAAATAATATAATTTTATTATTATATTTAAATATAAATGAATGTTTTATTATTATTTTGCTTTGTTAAATTATTGCTATTTTGTTTGCATTTTATTGTTCACACAATATTTTTTGTAGCATTTTTCTAAACATGCTAAGATAAAGTAAACGTACCACTAACCTTTATTTTATTTGTTTTAGTTACAAATTAGATGAAAAGATAAAACAAAACTATCAATACCTTTATGTATAAGTACTTTAATTATTGTGTGCGTTGAATTTGATGAACATAGCAAAATGGGAGTGTGTTAATAAAGGAAAGGAAATAAACATACAATAAAGATGAAGAAGAATTTAATCTCTCATTATGTTTATAGTTAAACAATGATTATATATAATATTTTAGTTTAAAATATTTGATGTTTAAGTTTAAATTATATAAATTAAATAGTAATTTTTATTATTTTTAATAAATTTATTAATATTTTTTCATTATAAATTATTTTTTTAATATTTTTATATAAAATTATTTTTATT